CTCTATCACTTGAGCAAACAGACTCATCTTGCTCCACATTATGCATGCAGATAGCAATAAAACAGGAAATTAATATGCATTTTTGGTCTCTAATCCTTCATTTTCTTGCTCATACAAATTTCTTATGTGTTTTCTTTGAGGAGGAGGGAGGTAGCTGTATTTGTTTTGTTTCTGGGCCACACTCTGCAGTGCTCAGGGTTTATTCCTGGATCTACACTCATAAATCACTTCTGGCAGAGTTTGGGAGACCAGATTGGATGCTGGAATCAAATCAGGTCAGCTGCGAGCAAGACAAATGCCCCACCCACTGACCATCACTACAAATTTATTATGGACAATGATACTTTTTGGTGATTTTATCTTTAATTCTCATTTTGGCTTTGATAATAATTCAACATTTCTGGTGTTATTAACTCCCTAACTCAGCTAATTTACAAACACCCAGTTATACCAACTTTTTACTGGGAAAAGGGGGTCACCTGTTCCTAATCAGGACTTATTTCTTGCTTTGTATTCAGGAATCATTCCTGTGGACTTAGAGGAGCCTATGGAGTGCTGAAGTACGTAAGACAAATGCCCTATCAACTGTACTGTCTCTCTGATCCCTATATACCAACATTATAGATGTTCTTGATACATTAACCATCGGTGCCTAATCCCTCAATTAGGCTCACTCTTTGTTTTATTTCTGATGCTCAGAACTTCCATCTCCCATAGTCATTTTCCTTATCACATGCTACTCATCTGTTGGGGCAAAATTTGACCAAAATGCTTAATTAGGATAACCAATATCTATCAATCCAATCTGAAAATATGTGGTGTAAAAGTTCTTTGAGATTCTCACTAGTGGGATTGACCACAGGACTGACTACAAACATATTTGTCAGATTTTCATTATCTCCTTTTCATCAGAGAATAAAGTTCACAGGACTCCCTTATCACTGCACATATGGCGAACAATGAGTAGCACTCATAGCTGTATCATTTATCATAAAATCCATGATTTATAATTCACTGACAATTAAGAAAATCAGTTTCCTTGGTCCCCTCAGACTAATAAATTTGTAATGCTTTATCAGGCAATTTTGGAGGTTAACTGACAAAAATTTCCAAATATTTCCAGCAGGATGATTGAGAAATCCCTGTATGTTCAATAGTAAAACTGCTATATCTTGTAAGCAGGCATTCACTTATGAAAGATAAAAGTTTGGTTCTGGTGTACTCCAGTTTCAAAAAACTTTTTGGTTTTTACTTCACGCCAAGATGTGATCCTTTTTGTGATCAAGATATAAAAATTTAAGTGACTTATCTGATGTTTGCATTATCTTGTACTGTTACTCTTGCATTACATTTTTAATGCATTACATTTGTAAACATCTGATTCTAACAGTCTTCAGGCACAAGGAGAGATGGAGTCTTGTCTCCCAAGTTTTTGCCATGGAGAATTCTTGTTTTATTGGTCAATTTATAAAGATGCATATGTCTAACTTTAGCTTGTTAAAATATTTTTCTAGATATGCTTTAAATAATTTAATCTGAGACCTTTTTACTTATATAATTCAAAAATATTTTGTGATTTTTGGTATTTTATCTAAAATAACTGAACTGAATAAATATAAACTGTTTCCTAATATTCTTCAAAGAAGATAAGTTTGTTATGAAATATTGCTCACTAATATTATTTTTCCAGAATGTATTCTCAATATATGGATACTATATGCATAATGTTCCTTTTTTGTCTGTATAACAACATACTTTAACAAATTAACTCATTTTAACTCTGAGAAAAGGCAGAAATGTAGCAGCAATATGCCTGGCATACCTCGTCTCTGGGCTAAATTACAAGTTCAACAAATATAAAACCAATTCACTTAAGATAAATTGAGCAACAATTTATATTTTGTCATTATGCTTAGTTGAAAAATATATCAAATAAAGCCTCCTCTAATTTTATACTAAAAGCTGTTGCATGTATAACTATTCAAATAGATTTTATACATATTTTATGCAAAGTAATATATTATTTTTATCCCTAAACTTAATTATTTATACAGTAAAATTAAGAAATTCCTAATGCATCATATCTTTAAACAAGTAGCTGGCAGAAAATTAAAGCAGCCTTAGATTTAATCTGTAAAGCAGAGAACAGAAGATCCTAATACACATTATCTTGAAGATTAAATTGAAGAGATGTTTGGGACTAAAGCAACAGCACTATAGTGGGTACAGCATTTTCCTTACACATGGCTGGCCCAGTTCAATGCATGGCACCACATATAATCCCCAAGCCCTGCCAGGAGTGATAGCTGAGAAAAAGCCAAGAATAATCCCTGAGTACTGCTGGGTATGAATCCACCCCCACAAATGAACACAAAACTAAAGATAAGCTTCACAAGATTTGATACTATGGTAATGAAGAAATAAACTAGAAATTCCACTTGGAGCAAACATAAAGCAAGTTCTATGATACTGAACTATTTACAAAATAAAAGAGAATGCTGCAGAGTAAAGTCAAAGATGGCGATCATGCCCTACTGTTTTAATTTTCTATTATTTACTAGATAAATCTCAATGAATCGTGTAATAGTGATTTCACGTATAATAGTTTGAATTATGTAATAATTGCAGTTCCAAATATATTTTAGAACAATATTAAACTTTTCCTCATGTTCATTTCACAGATTTAGTATGTTAAGTTTGCAATTATTATAGCTAATCAGAAAATTCTTTTAAAAAATATAGTGAGGATTTAAATGCCCTTTACCCAGTCTTATATAAAACACTGCATTCCAGAAAATTCATGGAACCCCTGTGTGTGCATGTGTGTGTGTGGTTCTGTGTCATTTATCACAGATGAGCATTACATTGTTACTACCACAGTGCAAGTTTTTTTATTATCACTACAAGGGTCATTTCTACTACCCTCTCACAGCTGCATCCCTCTTGTTTTTCCCAATCCCCAACCCTCTGGAAATCACTAATCTATTTGCAATCTCATGATCTTATCTCTAAATTATTTAAGGTAAAATGTAATAATAAGGGATTATTATATGCAATAAAATGGGATTCCTGGTATCCCATTTGGTTCCCTGAGCACCACCAGGAATAATTCCTGAGTGCATGAGCCAGGAGTAACCCCTGTACAATGCAGAGTGTGAACCCCCCAAATAAAACAAAAAAAGACTGGCCTTTAATACTATAACATGATGTCCCAGCTATTTGAGATTAGGATTAGGACACAGGCACATACAGAAGAAACGCCATGCAAAGATAAGGGAGAAATGAGTAGAAGACAAGGGGTAAAGCTTTTCAATGCAGGTAACCTCACAAAGATTAATGTGCCAAGATTAAGGAAAGTTGAACTTCCAGAACTGTGCAAAAAACATGTCTTTTGTTTAAACTATTTAGTCTTTGGTCTTTACAGCAGACCTAGCAAACAAATAGAGTGCATTGTTTTATCATTATTTGCCTCACACACATGTGTTTAGAAATAATACTTTCTTCTATAAAAATCACTTATGTATCAATCTAATTTATTAATGCTTCTTAAAGAAAGTTCTCAAAATTGCTGACTATCTTGCATCATGCTCTGCAATGACTTGTGCTAAAAGAAATAAAATAACATATATATGCATACATATTATAGGCATGAACAAAGGACAGGAGTGTTGGCATCTAACTATGTTACAATAACTTAAAGCAGTTGTACTTTAAAGAATATATCTAAACAATATGGACATTCAACAAAAATCTAGAAATTTAGCTTCCGTGTGACCTAGCAATGCCATTTCTGGGAATATAGGTTGCGGTTGGAAAAACACAGCAAATATGGCATCTGCAGTTATATGTTCATTACAGCACTGTTCATAATAGCTAGAGTCTGGTAATGACCCGAGTGCTTGAGAACAGATGATTGGTTAAAAAAAACTATGGTATATCTACACAATGGAATTTGATGTAACTATTAGGAAAAATGAAGTTATGAAGTTCACTTATAAATGGATGGAGATAGCACCATTCTGAGTGAAATGAGTCAGAAGGAGAGAGACAGACAGAATGATTGCACTCATTTGTGGGATATAAAACACATAGTACAAGACTTATATCCAAAGACAGTGGAAACAAGGGCAAGAGGGATTGGTTCATGGTTGGAAGCCTGTCTCAAGTGCTGAGGGAGTGGGAGTTGGAATAAAGAAGTGACTGCTATGAAAATGATGGTAGGAAATGATCTCTGGATGGGAGATGTGTGCTGAAAGTGGATCAAGAACCAAACATGATGGCCTCTCAGTATCTGTATTGCAAACCATAATGTCCAAAAGTTGAGAGAGAGAAAAAGAAGAAAAATGCCTGCCATAGAGATAGACTGGGGGGTTGGTGGTGGTGGGAGTGATACTGGGAACATTGGTGGTGGGAAATGTATAGTGGTGGAGGAATAGGTGTTGGAACATTGTATGACTGAAATAAGATCATGAAAGCTTGTAATATACATGTAATTGTGTATCTCATGGTGATTCAATTAAAAAAAGACATTAAGTCAGTTTTAAAAAACAAATTACTCCTAAATAATAGCATGAGCACACAATTCTGTATATTTTTGCCATTTATTTTCAGAGAAGATCATAATTAACATGCTGGCTTCAGTGTTTTTATGAGTTGAACTTAATATAAATTCTCATTAATTGCTGTATTTGACTTGGTAAAGGGATAGCAACATAAACATTTAATTTAATTAGCAACATGTTATTTGTATCTGAAGTATAGAATTATATCAAATGCATAGATATTAGCAAGATGCCTTATGTCAAGTTAACCTCCCTAAAAGAAGTAATACAAAGGTACATTTCTGTACTTTGGGAAATAACACTAACACAGAAGAGAAAATCACATCTTCAATAAAAGAGAGCATGCAATTGCACCACAGTGGCAGTATGCCCACCAGAGATATTATGCATCAAAAGGGAATTATGTATCTGCTTTTAGAGAATAGAAATGGAACTTACCATCTTGATCCGTGGTCACTGTAATAGCTGTGAATGGCTTGGGAGAAAAACTCAGCTCAGAAACTCCATTCATTGCTTCTATTTCAAAAGTGTAATTCACGTGAGACACAAAGTCAAGTACTATCACAGAACTGTTGATTAGGCCAGAATGTCTTGGGATGAATCGAAGTCCTCCACCACAGTCCTCACACTGGTTAGTTTCGAAGCCACATTTCTTACAGATTACACTGTATGTGAGATCTTTTCTCCCTCCTGTATCACTTGGTGGGCTCCATTCCAAAATAAGAGCTGTTTCATTGATGTTAAAAATCACATTTCTAGGAGCTGAAGGTGGCCCTAGAGAAAAGCAATTGCAAAACAAATGTACATGAACAGGACAGTGAAATATGATTTTTACTTGAAAACTCACTGATAAACTACTGTTAGTCTTTTATATTACTTTAACTTTTTCTTCTGATGGGAACCACAAGAACATATGGTTAAAGATATCTGATAAAGTCTTGCATGAAAGGACCATTAAAAATGAAAATGGTTATAACTTTTAGGTAGTTGAAATACAATATTTACTATCAAAAGCTGCAGACACTAAAACATAATTATACACTTTTAAATGTTCTAACTAAAGGCACATAATAAGCAAACATTAGTTCAAAGTATGTGACTATCTTAAATCATGATCTGATAATTATATTGCCATTATAGAAATTTGAAAAAAAAACATAGGCTGTACATTGTCTATTCTTCTATTTGATATATATATATAAATTTAGAATGTGGGTAAAACTCCTATTCACTAATTTTCATGATTCCTAAGGATTTGTTAAATGATCACAAATTGAGGAAAATGAGTTTGAAGGAAGGAAAGAGAAAGTAAAGTTGGAGGGAAGATAAAGGCTTATACTAGAACTATGCCGATGTCATAGGATGAAAGAATTATATGGAAAATAAGACAAAATATAATAAGTTACGGTGACTCATTTTTTATTTAGATTATATTTACTGAACACAAATGTGTTTGTTATTAAAAGGTGGCAATATAATCACTCAATTTTCTTATTTCTAATAAAGACTACACTATATATACTTATATTATGCATATTTAAATTGACCCCAATAGTAGATAAAGATCTTCCCTAACTCTTCTTCCTACAGGAGACTTAGCTGTAAGAGCATTGGCAGAGGTTATAAATATATAAAGCTAAACTATAAGGTATGAGGTACAGAATAGTGTTAAATATTTTGATTTCTTGTCTGCAGTATCTGTTATCAGCAACTTAATGTATAGGAACATAATATATATCATATAATGCTAGACCTAGAATGAGACAGTTTTCCCATAGGATTGGAGCACACATTGTTTGACAGTATTGCATATTGTAGAGTCACAGAAACATCTGTCTTTAGAAAGAAAATTATAGAAGAAATTATAATCTAGGGCAGGAATAGTAAGCTTTTGCCTCTAACCTACATGTATGCCTTGGAGATAAAAATTTATTAACATTATCATAATAATATATTCCTACAAAATAACATATTCATATTGTTGCTCTATAATCTTACTTAAAATGGAAAACATGAGTTATTCACTTATATTTTCATGAGTATGGAGGCAGTTATCAATTATGTTATGGGAGTTTGCAAGTATATATCTCTCTGCCTGGAGATACTTGAAAAAAACGCAACACCCTTCTTACTCAAGGGCCCTCATACCAATTTGCATGACGATTAAATAGCTTTTTAATTGCTGTTAAATTATGCCAGCTAAACTGTGATTTCATGCAAATATTAAGCTGTAATGACATGCAGTGAATCATTTACTAAGATTTAGAACTTGGAACAAAGAGAGACAATTAATTCTAATCCTCAGATTCAACTAAATTATGTGTCACTGGGCTTTTATGAATGTGGCCTGATTGCTTTGTTATCATTTATAAATTATACAAAGATTATGTGACACGTAGAGAAAAAAAGAAATAAGGAGGAAGGAAAAAAAAATAACCCTTGGCAGCAAAAACCCTTTTGGAGACATTGGTTAAGAAAACTCTCTAGAATTTTCTTCTGTTGATTTTTTCTTTAAAGAAAACAAGTAATTCACATGGAAGAAAAGCAATCTCACACTTCACCCTCTGGACTGACTTCACAGAAAAGGGCAATTACTCTGATTTGCAACTAGCTGTTTTATAAGCCATCATATAATAGCCCTTGTAAAATTTACAATTGCATTTCTACTAGTATATCTGAAAATACATTTTCAATCCTTTTCACTTTGCTTTAGTTTAAAATTAAATTACTCTGAAAGGATAAAGAAGCAGTGTGGAAATAGAAGACATGTGAGAAGTTTTCAGTAATGCTGGCTCGTTCCCTGAGAAATTCTGGTCCTAGAGTTTGTGTTCTTTCCAGAGAGCAGAGTTCAAATCTGCTATTTTCCCTGAAAAATTCTGGTAGGACCAAATTTGTGAGTTCAAATCTGCTATTATTTTTGTTATATCAATTTTAAGTTTTATTATGTAAAATGCTTTAAAACACAATCATATTTCCCAAAATATATCCCATACAATATTTTTAGTACATGAAATACTACATAAATCAAAAGTTCAGTGCTCAATTAGACTCCTCTAGCTCAAAACACTGTCTAAAACAAAACACTGTCCTCCCGTTGTTCACCGATTTGCTCGAGCGGGCCCAGTAATGTCTCCATTTTGAGACTTGTTGTTACTGTGTTTGGCATATTGAATACGTCATGGGTAGCTTGCCAGGCTTTTGCCACGAGAGCAAGATACTCTCTGTAGCTTGCTGGGCTCTCCAAGAGGGGCGGAGGAATAAAACCTGGCTCTGCCGGGCTGGCTGCACGCAAGGCAAATGCCCTAGCACTGCCCTATTGCTCCAGCCCTGAATGCACCCAATCTTGTCTGATCTGACCACTAGCTCACTGAAACTAAAACAAAAGTAACCCAGTTTTTCTGTTGTTGAACCCAATATTTTACCAAACAATTGGTCACGGAAACTAATCTAAGAACCATCAGGAGGAATACTGGATTCTACAAAAAAGCCCTAAAGGTTGACAAAGAAGTATGCAGACTCAAGAGTTATATTTCAGTCATGCAATGTTTCAACACCCATCCCTCCACCAGTGTAATTTTCTAGCACCAGTGTCCCCTGTTTCCCTTCCACCCCTTCCAGCCACCCCCACCCCAGCCTGCCTCTATGGTAGTCACTGCTCTTCTCTATCTAATTCTCTCTCTCTCTCTCTCTCATTTAAGGCATTATGGTTTGTGGTATAGATGCTGAAAGGTTATCATGCATACCCCTTTACCCGTTTTCAACACTTAGCTCTTGTACAGAGTGATCATTTCCAAGTAGTATTATCATAATGGATCTCCTCTATCTTAAATACCGTCCATCTCCCACACATAGACCAACCCTTGATCCGCCCTCCTGTACCATTTCTCTGGCCTTGAATATTAGTTTCACACTTTTCTTTTATATACCATGAATAAATGCGATTATAAAAATTTTTTGTAATGCTCTATCTCACGGTGGTTCAATTAAAAAAAAAGAAACGGGGGGCTGGAGTAATAGCACAGCAGCAGCAGATAGGGTGTTTGCCTTGCACATGGCCAACCCGAGTTCGATTCCCAGCATTCAATATGATGCCCTGAGCCATGCCAAGAGTAACTCCTGAGTGCAGAGCCAGGAGTAACCCCTGAGTACCACCAGGTGTGATCCAAAAAGCAAAATAAATAAGTAAATAAATAAAAACAAAAATAAAAAAAGTGATTCAATTAAAAAAAATAAAAGAATCTATGGCACAGAGTGGGTACTCAGTTAAAGATAACTAATACTCTGGACTCTATTAGGTCAATATTAAACATTATATAACCAAAAGATGGGACAGTACAGCTGCTCACTAGATTTTAATTTCAAAGGAATGACAAATCTGTTATATGTAAATATGTACACACATCTAATTTGTATATATATATATATATAATTGATGTTTTCACTTGTTTATATCCACTAGGCACTTCATGATTGGTTGTACATTAATATGATGCTTTTTATCACCATCAAAAAAAGAATATAGCTGCCATGTGTTCTGGAGTTATATTTCCGGACAGTTCCAATATTATATATTTTCATATTTTTTGGAATACACAACAAACATTGAGTATATTTTAAAATATGCTGTACATTCATTTCAATAAATCTTTCCTTTATGTTGTCACTCCCCCCAAAAGAGTTATATTTCAGTTACCTATCCTATTGCTGTAGATTTATATTTAATATTTATAATTATGGAAATATATCACCATGTTAAAAAAGACCTTTTTCATATTGACTACAGAGTAACTGTTCCCTTGAGCAGAGCATGATTTGCACTTTACAGAAACATTTAAAATTATTTATTATTTTATGGTAAATAATGTTTTAAATAAAGGATCTGTGATTTCCATAGTTATTCACACTTGAGTTTACAATTTGTCAGGACCAGTCCCACCATGAGTGTCGACTTCTCTCCATCAATGAGCCCAGGTTCCCCATCATTGCCCAACCTTCCTCTTTGACAGACACATTGTTAAATTTGGTCATTGTATTGTGTGAAATAAGAGCACACTTGAACATACTGACAGTATTGCTGACTCTGTAGCTTAGACAAATAAATATATCATGTTTCGACACCATTGATGTACCTGAAGCTCCTGATGCCTCCCAGCCATCTTACTTCACTCTCGTTTTCAGTTCTATAATCGAGGATGGTCCTGCAATCCCCCCTAGATATCCTGCTTCCCTTCCTTTTTTTTTCAGAATATATTTTCAGAACATAAATAAACAATACATATTTTTTCAATATACTTTTTTCTTCTTTCAACAGATTTTTTTAAGCAATCTTATTTTAGAGCATCAACAATTCTTTATAAGGATAAGAGAAATTGGAAGTTTAACTTTAAGAAATTATTACTAAAGATAGAGCTGTAGATGCATTACAAACTCTTTATAGTGCAACTTTTTATTTTTTGGCACTTCATATTTTTTTAAATATTAAAACTTCTACTTCACTAGCTGAATTGTTTTTCAATTAAGACTTGCTATACATTAAAATTTTTCTAGTGCTGTGAATGAAAACTTAGATACATATTTTAATTTTTCATTATTTATAAAGTTTACCGCTATAGAAGACAAAAAGAGGAAAAATCTAATAATTCTGATAGACTAAATAACATTAACTTCAATGATAACATCTAAACCTCTAAACCTTGTCTACATTTCTTTCATAACTAGACCCATACTTAAACCTCTTGCTTCCTTTTGCTATCTCAAGGTTTCATAGAGGGTAT